TTCTCTCAAAAAACAAGTTTAAATGTCTAATGCAGTGTTGCTGCTTAAGAAAATCTCTTGATTCAAGGATTTTTAGATATTTTAACTTGAAAATTACACAAAAACACTCATTAATAATAGACTTTTTTGCAGTGTATGTTATTGCAACACAAGTTGGCAAATACTTTGGTGGATTCATGCAAGTAGATTGGAGCTGAGCTTGCATGACTAGAAAACAACTGCCCGAGGGTGTTACCCAGATCCAAAATGGCCACCAAGTGAGCTGACTTGTTTAAAAAAAGATTTGCCTTCCCAGAGCTGCACCATCTGATACCCATCAGCCCCATATGCAGGCCCTCCACCCCTTCAATCAGAACAGAGCCTTGTTGTTTACACCCATCTTTGTTCTGCTACATCTCAAGTCTTTCTCCTCCTCCTTATGCTAAGTGTTTAGCCTCTGGCTGTGTGGGACATTCTTGCTCTCATTCTTGTGTTTTTTGTTTTTTGGGTCCACTGTCATGTACATAAACTAGTGGCTTTGAAACTGTCCCAGTGGCTTCCCTGCCGAGGGCAGATTTTCCCCGCAGAGATGCTTTGATAATAATGACTTTATGTTTTGGGGAGTCTGTTTTATGACACGTTGTGCCCAAACACCCGCTATCGTTCAACGCACGGTAGAGCAGTGATCACAGGACTGTGAATTAAAGGTCAGCTTCCCACCACCACAGGCTGAGGCACAGGCTGAGAGCCGAAAGTCTTAACACACCTGGCCAATGTTTTTCCCCATGCTCATATTTTTATTAATTTTATTTTTTTTCGTTCTCAGCATAATGAGTGTGTATGCCTGTACTCTGAAGAGTAAGCATAGGGTCAGTTGTGCCACATTTTACTTAAAATGAAAAATGAAACTAATATTATATATATGTTATATATGTATATATAACATTATAGTATTTATTAATATTTTAAATTTAGCTTTTATTTTTATATTTTCTTTTTTCATTTATTTTATTTTAGTTATACATAAATGTTAGTTTTTTTTGTAGTTTTGTTATGAGCATTTGTCATATTTATTAGTTTTTTATTTCTATTTAGCTTTAAATTTTTTTATTTTTTTTTTAGTTTTAGAAATTGTATTACTTCAACTTAAAACTAAATATTAGAGGACAATATTAACTGAAATAAATACGTTTATTTTAGACTTTTAATGAACAAAAAATAACAACACTGGTCTGCTATCAACCAGAAATGAAAAAGCATCTATTACTTATAACCATAGAAATATGACATATATCAGAAAAAGTAATGTCATGGGTTGAGTCAATGTAGAATACATGTACAATTTACATTTCAAAATAAAAATAAGAACATGAAAAGGGTAAAAAAAAAAGTTTACAGTACTAATGCATAATGCAATTCCAATATGTTTTTCTTCATATTCATATTTTAAAATCGTTTTTGTTATATATAAAATATTTAAGATATATTTAATTTAATTTAATATATATAAAATATTATTATGAAATATATACAGATGTATATTTTATCATTTGTTTTAAATGTGAAATGTTTTATTATAGTTAAATGTATAATATTTATTACATGTAATAAATATTACATAAATTATAATATATCTTTAGTTTGTAACTAATCTTTAGTAAATAATCACATAGTTTCATATATTGGCAAACTTATTTTTATATATTTATCAAATTCTGCCCTGTGGATACTTAATTTTGACATATTTTTAGCATTGGAAACTGCTTGTCACTTTTCTCAATCATAGGCAGAATAGGATGGACTTTTTCTAAAAACATAATCATACACCGTTTGTTCGATTTACGACATGACACATCACTCCTCCTACATCAAGCCATCATCATGATGTAGAACATGCAGAAAGCCGTGTAAGATGGGAGAGAGAGGGTTGAAAGAAAGATGTAAAAAGACTTGGAAGATGCCGGAAAGGGTTCGCTTCAAAGAACCACATCACAGGAGGTTATAGAAGTGAAGTAAACAGTGTTCGTAGCTCTTAGATCTGCAGTAACCACAGCACCCAGAGGCTTGATATCCAGCTCTCTTGGGAGCGTTTCAAAGCCCTGTTTTGAGCTCGTCATGGAAGCTTCGATTTCTTTCTGCTTGTCACTCACTTGAATTCCCTCCTCTCCTGGCCTTCTTGTTATTGATTGCGTTCACAAATTAACAACACTCTAGTTTATTGCGGCCCACTTTCAGCTACTTCCTCTCAAATGTTCTACCTCGTACGATGGCTCTTCTACCATTTTAAACAACTGTGAATTCGTTGAACGTCCAATGAACTCATTCACATTTGGTTTGTTGTGTCTCTTGACTCTCCAAAGAGTCAAAACCAAATGCGGTTCAGTCTGGCAGAGCATTTCGCCAGTCTCCATGCTTTTCAACTCAAACCAGATCCAGCATCGGGAGCTCGGGATCAGATGGCGGGGGTAGGGGGTATCACATCCGCATGTTCTCATTTCTTTAATAGACTTCCAAGGTCTTTTTTATTGGGCCTGTTTGTTGGCGTATGTTGTTTGATGTTACCATGCTTTTGGCCGTCTTTTACGCTTTCCCCAGCCAGGAAGGATGGACACCTGCTGCTCTTTCCGGGTCTTTCATAAACATTTGCGATTCCTCGCTCTCGCACCCAAAACGATACAGAAGAATCCTCCCGCTGGGAAAAACGACTAAGGGACATCTGCTACCAAACCCTCCACTTTGACTGTCTTTTCTTAGACTTGTAGCTGAGCTCATCCATTTTAAATAATGCCTTACAATGACTTAACTCCTCACCCTAATGAACTGCTGAAACCGCTTGAGTCCTGGGACAGTGCAGCTGCACTGCAAACACATTTTTCAGTCCCGTTCCTTCCAAAAAGAAGCTGCAGATGGGAACAAAATGGGTTCGTGTTGAATTAGATAACCTATGGTTGATTATTTCTGTGTGTGAGAGCATGTTAGACAGCTGCAAGTCATTCTGCCCCAACTGTGTGAGCTGAGCTTTTGTTCTTCAGGCTCGTCCTGCTCATCTCCTAATTAGATGTGCGAGCAGCGGAGAGCTGGGCAGATTCCCCAGCGAGCCCCACACGAACCTGGCCTGTCCCTCCGGTACAGCATGTGGCTTTGATTTGTGGCTTCCCTGAGGTGTCTCCTTCTATCATCTGTGTGGTTTTGGCACCAAAAGCATTACAGTAATGAGATATTGACCGAGCAAAAAAGATTACTGTCGCTTTAAATCAAACCAAAGTGATTGCGGTCTGCCTGCGAGAGGAAAGTGCAAGCTAAATATGGTCAAAATAAGATAGAAAGAGAGCCTTTATACCACATGCTGTGATCTGTATCCCCGTCGCCCTCCTCATGTCCTGAACTTCCTGTAATTGCTGACCTTGGTTACAGAAAAATCCTGCCGATTCAACGGATGCATCTGGTTATCGACATTGCCTCTTGTTGCAGGAATTTGTGGTGTGGGATTCCAGATGAAAATGATGAAAATGGTGTCTGGGATTGTGTGCCTCTTGTCTTGATATTGAAAGTTGATGCATGCAGTTGGAAGGAATTTTACAGAAAAAATGATCAATCTTATAATTACATCTGATTATTGATTCTGTGTCAATTATGCCCAGATATATCCCAGAGAATGCTATACATTCTCTGGGAATGTATCCATATATATGTATATATATATATATATATTTCTGTCAGGACCACTATCGTCAAAGATGATTGACAATTAGCATATAGTTTGGATTGGCGGTATGGTTCTGTTCTGGGCAAGAACTCCCTGTGCATCCGAACTAGTTTAGTTTTGGTTTTTAATTATTTTTTTTATGTTTTATTTTATTCTATTATTTTTTTTCTGTGTCATATTTGGCTAATTCATCTTCATAAACAGCTTAAAACCTCTTGATCTTTCTCTCAGGATTTTCTGCAGCAGAGCGACAGATGCATCTGGTTATCTGTGTACCTTCACATTGCCTCTTTTAGCAGGAATTTGTGGTGCGGGATTCCAGATGAAAATGTTCGCTGTGATGATCGGCGTCTGGGATTGTGTGCATCAGGCCTCTGTCTTCATATTGAAGGCTGATGCTTTTAGCTAGAAGGCAGTTTCTCAGCATGGAGGCCATTACCACTGTAGAGCTCCATTTGTATGAATGGCAGTTTGTGTGTGTGTGTGTAGCGGCTGTTTGCTTGGTTGTGTGCATGTTTGTAGAGGTCTGTACTAAGTGCCTCAGGCCTGCCAAACGAGTCAGGACTTTTGTAGCCGATTTTGAAATGTGGGGGGAAAATGAAATGTGAATGTTCCTTGAAATGGAGCAGCATAATGAACTCAAGACTGTTCCCATATTCAGCACTACTCTGGCGTTTCTCCATGTATCCCACAATGCCTATTCATTTGAGACCTTAACCATTGCGTTCTTTCGCTCTCTAGCACACTTTCAATCAGTTTTTTTTCCTCTTTGTTTCCATCATTTTCCCTATGTTTTTCCAATTCCTGATACAATCAATCGCAGACGTTCATGATAACTAGGTTTTGACCTTGACTCTCTTAAGAGTGGATACTTTAAGTAGTGGGATTTCACTCTTGACGGTCAAGTCATAGATCTGAGCTGAGTCATCATGGGAGCAGACTGTAGATGAGTCATGTCCCTGAGATGGACAGCTTTGGTTGCCCTCTCTTACCGCAGTCCAAGAATTCGTAATGTTTATACTGTACCTCACATGCTGTGAACTGACTGCAATTTGCTTTCTCAGAGCTACCTGCTGCTGCACTTGTTGGCTGCGTACTTACTGTGTACACAGCTTATCAAATTAGATTTTATAGTCAGAATATTTGTTTTATAATTCAATTTCGGTCAAAAGGCAGTTGAGTCCAGGTATTGAACTGTTCATGACATTCTACAAAAAAAATCTGTGATGATAAATAGCTTCATAGGCAAGTTTGTCAGTTGTATGGTACAGATTCTTGTTGCATGTAAGCGAAACAGTAAATTTTTTCCCTCCAGGATTCTCTGCAGCAGAAGGACGAGCGCATCGAGGAGCTGGAGGAGGCCTTGCGTGAGAGCGTTCAGATCACGGCTGAGAGAGAAATGGTGTTGGCACAAGAGGAATCTGCTCGTGCAAACGCTGAGAAACAGGTGAGAAAACACCACACACAGGTGAGATGAAGCTCAAGGCTCATTAATATGCACTTTCTTTCTCTCTCTCTCTCATTTATGTCTTTCATTTTTTGACGCTATGTATTGTTCACTTGCCATTTTTTTTACATTTGGATCAGTTTTATTTAATACTCTGTGCCTTGTTTTATTTAATTTTTTATATTCGTATTTATTCTACCTTTTTTTTGTTATTTCATTCATATTTTTATTTAATCTTTATTTATCTTTTGTTTTTTTTTAAAAATCTCCATTCAGTGAGATGTTTGACAACATTACCAATCCAGCTATATCCAGATAACTTGAAGTATGATAAACCGTCATTTTTCCTGGAAATGTTCCTAGCAATGTTTCTAAAGAGCTCCCGTGTACCTTTATAACAAGGCTGTGATGTGTTACCTGAAGCAAAATGTGTGCGGTAACTTCAGAGTGATGATCGCTAAACCCTACAGCCATCTTTTCATTGTGGAAATGTCCACTTCCTCATCTGCCTGGTCAAACATCCGCCCTAGTGTTTATACAGAGCTGTATGCACATCCACGTAAGGCTAGCATCGCTCAGGCCGGACTGTAATGGCTTTTGCTTGGCGGACGGTATCACTTCCATTAAAAAGCCTCCTTCACAGATCTCAGGAACCAGCAAAAAGCCGGCCTGTCAAAGCACATCACCACACCAGCACGTAAAGCCGTGCCAACCATCCAGATCCATGCCAGCAGTGCCAGTGGTGAACATTCATGTGGCATGCATGGGTTACGTGTTTGTGTCTGCAGTCAGTCTTCATTTAGAACATAAATAAGCTTTGCGTGGCCTGCGTGAGAACTACTAACTTTGGTCCGATTCAGTTCAGCTACATAGAACGTGCGCATATGAGGAGCATCCTGTGTGTTGACTGCACATGCCAGCATTTCTTTCTTAGCATTTTTAAGCAGGAGTTCAACTGGGATTTTGGAGGTAGAGGAGCAAAATAATTGATACATATATAGACTCTACCTGGGTCTACTTAAAGGAATTGTTTACCTAAAAAGTAACATTCTGTCATTATTTACTCACCCTTATATCATTCCAAACCCATAAGTTTTTGGTTAATCTTTGAAGTACAAATTATAAGATATTTTTAGTGAAACCTGAGTGGTTTCTGTCCCTCCATAGAAAGTCCAGGTAACCGAAATTTAGAAGACCCAGAAAGTTCATAGAGGTGTCATTAAATAATTCCATATGAAACAAGCAGTTTTAACCAAGTCTTGTGAAGAGGTGTAAATACTTTAATTGTAAATGATTTAATTTAGGCATACAGTGGGTACGGAAAGTATTCAGACCCCCTTAAATTTTCAAATACATAGAGTGTATCACGTATGGTAAACACAGACCTTTTTGGATCTACTAAATTTGGATCTAAATGGTTACCTGGACTTTCAGTGGAGGGACAAAAACCTCTCTGGTTTCATTAAAAAATATCCTCATTTCAAAGTTTTTTAAAGATTAACCGAAGTCTTATGGGGTTGGACATGAAGGTGAGTAAATGAATTATCCATTTAATGCAATTCAACTCTCTAAATGGAGACCGAATGCGTGTCTTCATCTAGAACACATTGGAAATGGATTGAATTTGCAAATAAACTGCCAACAATTTGTTATTTTATTATCCAAATGTGCTGGAATGCCGTTCCTGAGTTTTCCTGGCCTAATCTAACCTGTTTTTAATGCAGTTTGCCCCACTGTCTAGCTGTCTGTTGAGCCTTGACGATAACATCAAACTCCTATAACCTTTTCTGAACGAGTCCTCCATGAACCGGACAACACAAGCAACCAGTCAGGCTTTGAAACGGAGAGCAAAGCAGCTGCCAAAATCTTGTTTCCCCTCTACCTGAATCCCTGAACTTTTCCTCTGCTTTCTCCTTCTCTTTCCATCTTACTTGGCTCCATCGACTCTCTGCTTCATTTTTAAACCCTTAATGGTTTGTTCTACCTTCTGTGGATCCTGGAGCCCTGCCGTTTCCTTCCTTTTCGCTCTCTCCATTTTCTAAAGATTCGCATGAATTGGCTGAGCATCGTCCTAGTGTGCGTTGCAGTCTTGGGAATGTGTCGTGGCCTTCACCGCCGAGTTTCTTCACCGCCAGGCGGACTTCCACTCCAATCCCCCAGAGGTTAATTAGAGCTGGGAGCTGCGGCGGGAGGCAACGCTGCTGCTAAGCCTGGCCGGCCCCCCTCATTTGGCCTCAGAGAGAAGAGGAAATGGGGACAGTACAAGTGCCACCCTCCGGAGCCAGTCTCCACGCTCATTACCAATGTCCCAGTCGCATCAAGTCTCGCTACCCACTCAGGATATCGCCGTTAGAAGTTCTTTTCCACCCTGGCACCTGTTATATAAGAATGAACTCATATTCCGGGTTACATATTTAGGGAGTTATGAGCTATACAAAATAAAAAAAATAGAATGGCAGCTTGCCTCACTGGCAATTGGCAGACATGTTTTTAAATGCGTAATTTGTGGTCCTGCATTAAACCATACAAAATCTAATTAGCTTCACACAAATGCACACGGTTTTCCTTACGCACACACAGAGTCTCTCCTCCGCTATTTAATTAACATCCCTCCATTGCTTCACCACACCCTCTGTTGTGCCAATCATAAGCAAGCATTCGTCTTTAGCTCTGTGTTTAATTTCCTCCAATAGCTGCTCGCCTCATTGTTCTCATTGTGCAGCGCACATGTTGGACCGAGTGCAGTGCCTGTACAAATTGCTGTCAGTATGTTGTTCTTAAATGTATGGGGACGAGGGTGACTGCTCTTTGTTACACTGACATGAAAGCAAACCTCTGGCCAAAAATGAGTCTATTCTTTCTCGTCAAGCCAAGTGCGTCTGTTAAGCTCACTTAAAAGTTGTGTTGTGTGTGTGTGTGTGTCTGTTTACTTGTTTAATTAAAGTGCATGGAAGAGCTACAAGTTGTTTGCTCCATTCATGCAGGTAATGCAATTTGGAAATATGAATCCAAACATGTGTTCCTATGGGTTCTCATATGTACTAGATGAAGTCTAAGACAATTACACAGGTCAGTGTTAACGTTGTCTGCTAAAAATGCTACTATTATTCCATCTTTCCCAAAGGGATAGATCAACACAAATGGAATTCTGTCATTATTTGCTCACTTTTATATAATTCTAAACCCATGTGCAATTTTGGGTTTTACAATAAACATTTAACAATAAGGTAAAATTTGTCAAGATTATTAATGCATTAGGTATCATGAAAGAACAATATAAAATGTCTTCAGTTTAACAGCATTTAGTAATTTTTGTTAATGCTAATTTATAAATATATTAATATAACTAATTAATTGTAACTAATTAATTAAATATGTTCTAAATATATTAATATAAATATGCATAATTATAAATATTAATATAATTTATAAATATATTAATAATTTTTGTATTTCTTTTACAATAGTTATTAATCTGTTAATGTTAATTCATAAATATATGAATACATTTATTTATTTATAATTTCTCTCAACAGGCATACAACAGGTGACGCGTCAAATTAATGAATACATATAAATACAAAGGAAAGCAATGACAATTTAAATAAATGATGCCAAAAATGTATTAAAAGTTGCATGTACCTGTATGTTTTTGATATTTCAAGTTATTTGTGCTGTCATGGAGTAACAATGAATAATAGTATATTTATTAACGTTAAACTAGATTAATAAATGCTGTAGAATATAGTTGTTCATTGTTAATTGATATCTAATTCTTTAATGTTAATGAATTAAGCCTTATTGTAAATTGTTGCTACAATGGTTATGGTTCATAGAACTATGCAATGCTCCAAGGCTTTTAAAGCCGTATGATAGCTTTGTGTGGCAAACAGACTTGAAGTTAAGTCGTTAACCCCTCCGTTGAACTCTTACGGACCACTAAAATGGCACACTTGCACCAGGTTTGACGTCATATACGTGAATCAGTGTGGGTTCTCGAATGTCTTGTTATATAATATGCCACAAACTTGTGGCATATTTGATTTGTGAGCTGCAGCATTGAAGAATGAATAATGACAAATAAGTCAAATAATTTTTTTTGTGTTTCATAGAAGAAATTGGAAGATTTGGAACAACACGAGTAAGGGATGACACATTTTAAATTTTTAGGTGAATTAGTTTTTTTAAGACTTCCCCCATTTTAATTTTTCTCTCCATCTCACTCCATCTTCATTGCAGAATTGATATTTCAGGAGTGTCAAAACAATGTTTTCTCAGTCTGTTCAATGTGCTTATTTAGCGGCTGAGCCTGTCTTATTTTAGCTGATGCTTTCATGAGTGTTAGTGTCCTGCCAAACCCCCAGTAACTGCTTTAATGAGTCGTGTGCTAGTAAGGGCAAATGTGGTCGCCGAGAGAAAAAGGGGGGCATTTTTTTCCTACACAGGGCCCTGGGTGTGCAGTGACACCAGTCATTCAGCTCCAGCGTGGAATTTACGGCCGGGATATACGAAAGCGACCAGCCGCTCATGCGGGGCCAGTGAAAACGTTTGCCCAAGACCACATGAAAACACACGTCCAGTCTCCAGACATGATTCAGCAGCAAAATGACATACTTCATAACCTTCCCTGGAGGCAGTGGACCAAAGAAAGCCTCAATATCTCCGCTCGTTTTGACCGGGGATGATGGGATGTCTCGAAACTGCCCTTACTCTTTCACCGCAAGCTTCCCCCCCTTTCCCTGTCGGCCTGACCCAATCCTGTATGGATCTCTTTTCCACTCCCAACCTGTTCTCACTCAGACGTTTCGCTGTTGTCACATTGGATCCATGGTTACTGTCCTTTCTCTAGCCCCTCTTCCACTGCTTCCAATTTTCCTTTTGCATGGTTTGTTTCAAACTGTTGTTCTGTTTTGGTCTGTTCTGTCTCTGTTTCCTCTTTGGCTTTTTCTGTAATCCCTCTTTTTCTCCATTTCTTCTCCATCGCTCACTGCCTGTGCAAA